CTCTTTCAACTCCAAGGGTACAGATTGAACCCGAAACCCATAACTGATAATCGCAGTCCCGCGCTCACAGGATTTTGGAAGTATCCTGGCGCAGGTCCCAACCAGATGCAAATGTGAGTACCGCGTTGTAGGTACCACGTTCAGTAGAGCTCCCTCTGGTGCCACGAAACGTGTGAGAGAGGTGCCGAAATGGGCGCGGTGGTGCCATGCGAGCGCAGCCGGTGGGGCCCTCGGTGGAGCTCCCTATGGTGCCACGAAACGAGCGAGGGGTGTGCCAAAATGGACGCGGCAGCGCCATGCGAGCGCAGCCACTGGGGCCCTCACTGGAGCCCCCTATTGGGCTACGAAGCGTGTGAGGGGTGTGCCGAAATGGGCGCGGTATCGCCATGCGAGCGCAGCCACGGGGGCCGTCGGTGGAGCTCCCTTTCGGGCCACGAAACGCGTGAGGGGTGTGCCGAAATGGGCGCGGTTTCACCATACGGCCGTAGCCACTGGGGCCCTGGGTGGAGCTCCCTTTGGGACCACGAAACGTGTGAGGAGAGCAGAGGCAGAAACGTGATGAGGAACGAGGAGGCGGGAGGGAGGGAGGGACGCGGCGCGCTGTCTCTTCAAAACGAGAACCCACACTACAGGATAGTTCGGAAACCTTGGAACAGTTCAATATGCAAATCCCCAGTTCAGATATTGGAAATCTGAAAGCATCAATCCAGGACTTCCCATACACTTCCCATACACTTCCCATACACGAGGAGGAGGAGGAGGAGGAGGAGGAGGAGGAGAAGGAGGAGTTACGCTGATGCTGCAATTGCTACTGCTAGGCCCCCTTGATAGAATCCAGGCAACACATCGGTCAGTTGTTTTAGCCGTCAACGTGGATGACTTCTCCCTACAGCGCTTCGGCGGCGAGGAGCGCGTGGGAGACGAGCTCCAGCAGTCAGCCGCGTTCCTTGTCTCCGAACTGCACTAAGTAGACATGCAGCTCGCTTTAGATAAAGGCAGGGTGCTAAGCAATTCGCAGAAACTTCGACTTCGGCTCGCTCGCAATCTTCGGCACCTTGGGATTCAGGCTGCTGTTACCGAGCGCAACCTGGGGGTCGACTTCGCTTCTGGCAAAGTGCGTCCTAGATACACCACCGCCGCTCGTTTCAAGGTCATCAAAACACGTCGAGCTCGCATGTCAGCTTTAAAGTCAGGACGGCCTCGAAGAAAGCTTCTAGGTCAGATGAGCCGAGCTGCGCTTGAGGGCGCTACCTTTTTCGGCACGGCCGTCACTGGAGTCAATGGCAAGGAGCTCAGCACACTGCGCAGCTTAGCAGGCAAGCTTCAGGATCACAAGCAAGCGGGCAAGAGCCTCACTCTCGCTCTCATGCTGGCGCCCACTAAGGACCTCGATCCCATCATCAGGGCCACGTGGTTGCCTGCTAAGTTGTTCATGCTCTGTCTGCATGAGTCATGGATGCCCCGTATGGTGTTAGACGCGAGCCTCAGGCAAGTTGACGCCCACCTCAGCCTCCTGCAGGACCCATGGAGCTCCATAGCGGGACCTTTCACTACTCCCTGGGCTCTTCATCGGGTTGGAGTTCGAGCTCGGTCTTTGGAATTTTGGGGTTTTCCTGGAGGACGAGTTCTGAACATTTCTGAGGCCTGCCCGTATGTAGTCAAGCAACATGTGATGCGAGCGGTATACCTTTGGCAGTGTGCGAAGATAGCCGAACATGTCGAAGCACCCGAATTTCGTTCTTGTGTGCTCCTAGCTCCGATCCTAGCCTTTTTACGCTCCAAGGCTCTGCCGCAGCACCGTTCGTATGTACGATCGGTCGTGATCGGAGCCCAGTGGCCAATGGCGAGGCAATGGAACGCTGGCTACCCCGTGGACCCTCACTGCATTGCCTGCCTCGCCGCTGGCTCTCTCAAGCTTGGCACGCTCACGCACAGGCACTGCAGCTGCGCGCAGCACGCTCTGCAGCTCGAGCACCCACATGTCTTGTGTCAGTCTCTAGGCGGAATCGCCAGCAATGGAAGTCTCTCGCAGCTGCTCGCTGAGAGATGCTTAGTGCCGATGCCGATTTTAGAGCGTCCCTTACTTCCTGACCTCCCTCCTCTGCTCTGGGTCCATGGGTCCCCTGATCGGCTCACGGGAGATGTTTTCCTGGACGGCTCGATTTTTGAAGGGGACATGGGACCCTGGGCCTCAGGAAGCTGGGCCGTGGTTGCGCTGTCCAGAGGCGCCCGCACCCTCCGTGAGGTCTCTGCTCTGATGTGTGGCCCGCTCTTCTCTGAGTTTCCCACCATTAATGAGGCAGAGTTGACTGCCTTGCTAGAATGTCTCAAGCATGCATGTCCGCCCCTCGTCTTGCACACTGATTCTAAGTATGTCTTCGACGGTGTGTTGTCCAGAGGCCGTTTGCGCACCACTCAGGTGCTAGACACACACTGTTTTCTCTGGCGCGAGGTGTGGGCCAGGCTTGAGGATTGGGGTTTCGACGGTTCGGAGCTGTGTGAGGCGGTTCGTTTTGTTAAGGTGCCTGCCCACTCCTCGCGCGCGGATGTCCTGTCGGGTAAAAAAGGAAAAGGAAAGGTGAATGCGTCCTTGAGCTCTTAAGAGCACGCGTTCATTACCTTTCCTATTTCTCTTTTTTAATAAGAGAGAGAATAGTCAAGAGAAGGTTTCCTTTCATTTTCTCTTTCAAAAATAAAATGAACACTTGCCATCGGCAATTCTTGTTTTCTTAATTTTATTTTTGATAAGAGAAATGAAAATGACAAGTTCGGCAACGACATGGCCGACCGACACGCCAAGTGGGCGGCCCAGGCCTTCCGAGTGCCGCCGCCGCAAGCCGCTGCCGTCGCTTCCAGAACCAAGGTTTTGAAGTCATGGGTGAAGTGGGTGGGCAAGGTGGGTGAGAACCTCCCCGACTCCTCCCACCCTTTTTCGCTCCAGCGTGGTAAACCTCCCACCCCACAGCTCCAGCTTGTGCAGGAGACCCTTCCCCAGGACATTGTTTCGCGTGCTACCAGAGCTTCCCAGGCCCTCAGTGCCAAGGGTGAGAGGCCTCATGCTCCGGTCAAATTCTCTCTCCAGGACGGTGTCGTCCTGATTGGCTGCTCTCGCTGCGGGGTCATCTCGTCGTCTCGCCTCTCCAGTCTCTCTTCCAGTCGCTCAGGGAGTCTTCCTGCCTGGGCCAAGAAGATTTGGGACAGGCGCAGACGTTGTGAATATCGGCACACTGCAGCGGGTTCTTCTCGAGTTCTCAGAGTGCTGGCCACTGAGCCCGTGCTGTAACTCGTTCGGCTTTGCTTTCGGTTGCTCGTCGGAGGATCTTCGGCGCGCAATGTCTTGCGCAGAAGGAGGAGAAGGAGGAGGCGGAGGAGGAGGGGGAGGAGGAGGAGGAGGAGGAGGAAAAGGAGGAGGAGGAGGAGGAGGAGGAGGAGGAGGAGGAGGAGGAGGAGGAGGAGGAGGAGGAGGAGGGGAGGAGGAGGAGGAGGAGGAGGAGGAGGAGGAGGAGGGGAACGCAGTGATGGGGAAGCGGGAAGGATCGGGCCCAGCGGGCGGCGGCGGTGCCCCGGGCGCTCGGCGCCGTGCCCTCTCGGCCCAGAGTTCCGGGGGCCCCCCCAACTGGGAGGGCCTCGGCCCGTGCCCTGGGGCCGGGCTTCTCACCCCGAGCCACCTTCCTTCGGGGCTCGAGGAGGAGGAGGAGGAGGAGGAGGAGGAGGAGGAGGAGGAGGAGGAGGAGACAGGGGAGGAGACACGAGAGAAGGGGGAGGGAAGGGAGGGAGGGGAACGGACGCCTCCGCGTCCGCCCGCGCCACAGACCACCACGGCGGCGGCGGCGCCGGTAAGAATCCAGGGGGCCTTCCGTCTGGCAGGCGGGGCAAGGACTGGGTCGGGCATGTCCTCCTACAGGCGGATCTTGGAAGAAAAACCAGGGCATTGTCAGAAGTACCCCCAAACAGTCAAAACATAGTAAAACACAAACTCGTCCCCATGCGATGTGTTGACTATTTTTGGAAACTCCTCCTGTACAGGGACGTACCCGACTGAAGACGAGGAGGAGGAACGACGGCTCTAGAGGAGCCCCATGGGTGGCCGCCAGGGGAGCCCCGACGGGACCAGAAGCAGAGCCCGAGCTCAAGCCGCGGGAGAGCCTCCTGGCTCCTCGCTCTCGGGGGAGAGGAGGAGGAGGAGGAGGAGGAGGAGGAGGAGGAGGAGGAGGAGGAGGAGGAGGAGGAGGAGGAGGAGGAGGAGGAGGAGGAGGAGGAGGAGGAGGAGGAGGAGGAGGCGGGAGGAGGAGGGAGGAGGAGGAGGAGGCGGAGAGGAGGGAGGGAGGAGGGAGGAGGGAGGATAGGGAGGAGGGAGGAGGGAGGAGGAGGAGGAGGAGGAGGAGGAGGAGGAGGAGGAGGGCCTCTTGGGGCCTCCCAGAAGGTCATGGGGGCACGCGGGGAGCCCGCCAAGACAATGCCCCCAGGCCCCTCTCGGCCCCCCTCTCGGGACCCTGGCGTCTCGCTGGGGGTCCCTTGGGGATCTTGGGGCACTCTTGGGCCGTCTTGGTGGCCCATTGGGCCGTATTGGGGTCATCTTGGGCCTTTCTGGTGCGTCTTGGGGCGATCGGAGAGGCCCCCCGGGGCCGTCCGGGGCTGTCGGAAGAACGATAAAGCGAGAACGCTGAAATACGCGAAAACCCAAAACGAAATCTATCAGCCCTTTCGGGGGTGCTCATGAGGCTTTCTTGGGGTGTGTCGGGGGCATCTTAGGCCGCCATGAAGCCATCGAGGGCTACTTTAGAGCGCTGTAGAATCGTCTTGGGCATGTCTTGACAGTCTTGGGGGCCTTGTGGCCCTCTTGGGCCGTCATGGGGGTCTTGGGCCGTGTATGGCCGCTAGGGAGCGCGCACGACAATAGTCGCGGAGCACTTCTTCCCAATTCATCTAGCTCCCCGTCCTGCGCGACCTCGTCCTCCTCCTTCTCCTCCTCCTCTTCCTCCTCCTCCACCTCCTCCTCCTCTTGCATTGCCAGGGGAAGCCACCCTGGGTGCACCGGTGGACACCTCGCCCACACTGGCGCACTGCAATGCCTGGGGGAGCCACTCCTGGGGGCGCCAGTGGGCACCTCGCCCACACTGGCGCACCAGAGTGCCTGGAAGAACCACACCTCGCCCACACTGGCGCACCAAGTCCCATGTGGACGCCTCTCCATAAAAAACTGTCGCACTGCAATGACCGGGGAGCAAGTCTTGGAGCGCCGGTGGACACCTCGCCCACGCTGGCGCACCAGAGTGCAAACCGAAAGCCATTAGACACCTCGCCCACACTGGCGGGCGCACCGCAATGCCTAGGGGAGCCATTTTGGGGTTTTCTGTGGACGCCTCTCCAGGAAACTGGCATGTACTGCAACTGGGGGGTAGCAGCTCTTGGGGCTCCGGTGGACACTTCGCCCACATGACTGGCGCAAGGGCCACTATGCGCGCGCCGGTGGACACCTCGCCCAAACAGGCGCACCGCACGAATGCGCTGGACGGCCTGCGCGAGATAGTATACTTAAGTCGGGCATGTCCCCTTACAGGGGGACTTTGGATGAACAACCAAAACATGCTCTCAAACATACCCCAACAAATACCCAAAAATACTCAAAAACAAGTCCCCAGACTATTTTTGAATATTCCCCCTGTAGAGGGACGGGCCCGACTTAATCGTATACAACAGCAGAAAAGGCCTCATCTGAGGACCGCGGCAGGCATCGCGCCGGCAGGTGGTGCGCCCGGTCTCGCAGATGAGGAGGGAGGAGGCAGATGGATGGTGGACGTAGGAGGAGGAGGAGCCGAATGGAGGGAGAGGAGGAGGAGGAGGAGGAGGAGGAGGAGGAGGAGGAGGAGGAGGCGACGTGAGGACAGATTCAACCCGTAGGCTCAAATCTGCTCCAAATTGCAGGCAAAGAGAAATGACGTCATCCACTTTAAAACATGTGACCATTGTCGAAGTGAGATATCGAACCTCACAAGGAGATTCAATGATGATTCTCAATCCGGCACGTTGCGACCTCAAGTCAAAAGCCGAGCAATCCAAGCCTCGACGGAACTGATGGAACTGAAGGAGGAAGACGAGAAGAAGAAGAAGAAGAAGAGAAGAAGAAGAGGCGGAATGATAAATGCCCAGGTCGAAGCGTATCGAGGCTGATCGACTCGCAATGCATGGTTCGGATCTACCTAGTCGAGCTCGAACGGCCTTTTTCCTGTTCGTGGCGATGGCCCCAGCCCTCGCCGCGAGACGCCTTCGCATCTGCTCTCCACCCCACCTCTTGAGATGCCTAGGGCAATCTTAGTGCAGCAGAAAATCAACCACAATCAAAACCCGATTTACCAGCGCAGACCCTGGCGCTGTGGTAAAACGCAGGTGAAGCGGTCCTGGGCCTCCCCCTGTCCGCCGCCCGCCTCCCTCCCGCTCCCTCCTCCTCCCTCCTCTCGCCCCCCCCTCGCTCGCGCTTATCGTCCTTCCTTCCGTCTTCCCCGTCCTGCGCGCAATTCTTAGGATCACCCTTCGTAGTGCTAATCCCCATTGCCCTTCCTAGTGCCAGTCCCCTCCCCCTCCAATCCTTCCTCGTAATACTCCTCCTCCTCCTCCTCCTCCTCCTCCTCCTCCTCCTCGTGCTTCTTCCCTCCTTTTTCCTCCCTATCGTGCCAATGTTAGGGCATCAACCACAAGCGATGGCGAATCGCAACAGACAAGGCAAGCGGGACCCAAGGCTGGCACTGCATCCTGTTGCCTCCTTCTCCTCATCCTGCTCCTCCCCATTCTCCTCGTCCTTCTGTTCCTCCTCCCCTCTGCCTCCATCCCTCTTGAGCCGTCTGGGGCCGGTCCAGACCCCCTCCAGGGCCCTCGTAGACGTTTCGTGGGCAATCTTGGGATCATTCTGGGCCCCCATTGTGAGATCCTCGGGAGCGGGGGAAAAGCCGAACTGAAATCGGTCGTCCTCTTTGATTCGTGGGCCGCGTCGGAGTCCTGCCGGGACGGGGAATACGCCGTTTCTGAGGCTTCCCGTCTCTCGTGGGAATGTCGTGGGTACCCTCAGGTTGAACGATTTTGCCAACTTGGGGGCAGTCTCGAGGAACTCTTGTTTGAAGCCTTCTTTGGGGCCTCTCGGGCGCATGCTGGAGAGGCTGTACGGGGGGAATGTCGGGGTCCCTTTGGGGCCGTCTTGGGGATCTATTGGGGCCATCTTGGGGCCGTCTTGGGTTCCTTCGGGCCGTCTTGGAAGCGCCTTGGGGCCGCACTGAAGCCGTCTATTGCCCGCCGTGGGCCGTCTCTCTGTTGGGCCATCGTTTGCCCCCCCTGGAAGCCCTGTTGGGGCATCTTGTTGGGGTGAGGGGTTCTGCTCTGGGGGGCCGCTCCGACGCCGCACCTGGACGTGAAAGCGAGGCCGCACGCCGCACGTCGCTCTGAATCTCCCCGAGCCCGCTGCATGGTGCCTCACCGTCCGTCAGCCCGGAGAGGAGCAGAAGGCAGCACGGTGAAGCTCGGGGATGGGCGGGAAGGGGCGGGAGCGAGGCCGCTTGGAAGCGCTGGCCGGCCGCTGGTGCTCTGGCGGAACGGGGAGCAGAACGGCGGATCGAGAATAGCAGGCGTGAGTGTGTGTGTGTGAAGGTCGGTGGATTGTTGCTGCTTCCCACCCGCACAGAGCTCTGACACAGAAGAGAGAGAGAGAGAGAGAGAGAGGAGAGAGAGAGCAGAGCGGCAACGCGGCGTGTCGAGCCGACCCGCCAGAGCATGACGGCCGTGAGCAGCAGCTGCAGCTCCTCCCTCATACTCCCACCACGGTGGTTGATTACAGTCGGGGCGTCGACCTCAGGAACCCTAAATAAGGAACGCGGCCCCTTTTTTCCCATCAGTTGAACTTCCATCTCCCAGGGAAAACCCGCAGGGCAAACTGCAAAACAACCAAGGAACACCGAGCCCCTCCCCAACGACAAGGGCTCCTTCTTCAGCGCCCCGAGTGCATGGTGGTTTCTTCTCCCAAAGGAGTCCAGGGTCTGGGGGCCCGCAGAACTCCAGTCGTGGAGTGGCCACGGATGTCGCCCCCCTCCTCCCCCTCCTCGAAAATATGGATGTCGCCCCATCAAGGTATGGAGGGGGGGGAGGGGGGCACGTGGGCCCCCCAATGGAGGAGGGGGAGGAGGGAGAGCCCGCAGAGCTCCAGTCGTGGAGTGGCCCACGGAGGTCACCGCCGCCCTCGCCGGACGAGGACCCCCCCCAGGGGTCTGAGGCCTCCCAGGCATGCTCCCCAACGAACGCCCCCACCGTACCACCCACGTTAGGTCGGGCGTGTCCTCCTGCAGGCGGATGTTGGACGAGAAATAAAAACATACCCCGAAACATACTCAAGAATAGCCAAGAAATGCGGAATTATCCCGGCAAAGCAACCTAACAGCGATGCGTAGGAGCATATCTGGAAGCATTCCCCTTAAGATTCAGATGAGAATCCAGTTGTAGAATTCTGCTGTTCTCGCAGTCGTAGTCGCATTCGCGATGACAGTCGCAGTGGCAACGGCAGTCACAGTCACAGCCTCAGCCTCAGCCTGCCTCAGCCTCAGCCTCAGCCTGCCTCAGCCTCAGCCTGCCTCAGCCCTCAGCCTCAGCCTGCTTCAGCCTCAGCCTCAGTCTGCCTTCAGCCTCGGCCTCAGCCTCAGCCTGCCTCAGCCTCAGCCTGCATCAGCCTCAGCCTCAGCCTCAGCCTGCCTCAGCATCAGCCTGCCTCAGCCTCAGCCTCAGCCTGCCTCAGCCTCAGCCTCAGCCTGCTTCAGCCTCAGCCTCAGTCTGCCTTCAGCCTCGGCCTCAGCCTCAGCCTGCCTCAGCCTCAGCCTGCATCAGCCTCAGCCTCAGCCTCAGCCTGCCTCAGCATCAGCCTGCCTCAGCCTCAGCCTCAGCCTGCCTCAGCCTCAGCCTCAGCCTGCCTCAGCCTCAGTCAGCCTCAGCCTGCCTCAGCCTCAGCATCAGCCTGCCTCAGCCTCAGCCTCAGCCTCAGCCTCAGCCTCAGCCTGCTCAGCCTCAGCCTCAGCCTGCTTCAGCCTCAGCCTCAGTCTGCCTTCAGCCTCGGCCTCAGCCTGCCTCAGCCTCAGCCTGCAGCCTCAGCCTCAGCCTCAGCCTGCCTCAGCCTCAGCCTCAGCCTCAGCCTCAGCCTGCCTCAGCCTCAGCCTCAGCCTCAGCCTCAGCCTCAGCCTCAGCCTGCTCAGCCTCAGCCTCAGCCTCAGTCTGCCTCAGCCTCAGCCTCGGCCTCAGCCTCAGCCTGCCTCAGCCTCAGCCTCAGCCTGCTCAGCCTCAGCCTCAGCCTGCCTGCCTCAGCCTCAGCCTCAGCCTCAGCCTGCCTCAGCCTCAGCCTCAGCCTCCGCCTCAGCAGCCTCAGCCTCAGCCTGCTTCAGCCTCAGCCTCAGCCTCAGCCTCAGCCTGCCTTCAGCCTCAGCCTCAGCCTTCAGCCTCAGCCTGCCTCAGCCTCAGCCTCAGCCTCAGCCTCAGCCTCTCAGCCTCAGCCTCAGCCTCAGCCTCAGCATCAGCCTGCCTCAGCCTCAGCCTCAGCCTGCCTCAGCCTCAGCCTCAGCCTGCTTCAGCCTCAGCCTCAGTCTGCCTTCAGCCTCGGCCTCAGCCTCAGCCTGCCTCAGCCTCAGCCTGCCTCAGCCTCAGCATCAGCCTGCCTCAGCATTCAAAATGTGGCCCTTGGGGAATGGAGTTCTGGGAACTCGAAGAACACGAAGTGGCCTACAGTTGGCTCCGGGCATTCAAAGTCATGCCCAGGAATGGAAATCTGGGAACTCGAAGACCACGAAGTGGCCTACAGTTGGCTCTGGGCATTCAAAATCATGCCCAGGAATGGAGTTCTGGGAACTTGAAGACCACGAAGTGGCCTACAGTTGGCTCCGGGCATTCAAAATCATGCCCTGGGAACTCGAAGAACACGAAGTGGCCTACGGCTGGCTCCGGGCATTCAAAATCATGCCAAGGAATGGAACTCTGGGAACTCGAAGGAATCCCCGGTTTCCAGGGGCACCCGTCTGGATCCCGCCTTGACCCCCCTCGGGAGTCATGATGCTTTCTTTTGACCCTACTAGAAACCTATCAGTCTTCGCTGTGAGGTAAAAATCGTCCTCCGAGCAATCTTTAACCAGTTTTGAGTACTCCTCCTGTAGAGGGGCAAGCCCGACTTAACCACAACCCGAAGGCGGCGCGCCCCGAAGGGCACAAGCGGCCTCATGACCCGACCTGCACCCCTCCTCGACCAGAGCGCGCCGAGTGGGGCGCCTTTGTGGCGGGCCGCTGCGGCCTGTCGCACGCGGAACGCGACGCACGCCTGCGCACTCTGGCCAGGCGGCGGCCGCAAGCCTTCGGCAGAGCGTAGTGCAGCGCTGCTGCGCAGCAGCGGCCAGGAGCGATCACATCTCGCTCGAGAATAGGTTTCGCCGCCGCTCCTCATCTTTCCTCTCCTCGGTTGATTGACCCGAAAAGAACCCATAACCCTTTGGGAAGGGACCTGAGTTAGGCGGGCCAAAATACATGGGGGATAGGGGGACGTTTGTGCAGATGTATCAGACCAAAACGCCCAGACGTTTAATCCCTAGTGCGAGGACGAGGGGTTGGGTCTGCGGTGCAGGATTTTAATTTGAAAGCTTGAAACACGCGAAATCTTTCCCGCTGAAGAATGATATTGGGAACTTTCAGACTCAAATTCTCAATTCGGAAGTAGCGGATTGAAAGTTGGATCGGGCCCCAGGGAACCAGGACAATTAATTCACCAGGACATTGGCCAGTCGGGAAAACGACACCATTTCCTGCAAAGTCGAATTTGGTCGTCCACTGTTCGTGTTTCCTTGCTGCACTGCAGGATTCGGGTCTTTGTCCGGGTCTATCGTCTATAGCGACTTTGCAGGTTTTTTAAAGTTCTGGCCAGTTTTCGTATGGGAATACTGCAGTGCAATATTAGTTCGTGCCACCGTCTGGAAAACATGGGCTTCGAAAGATGTTGGATGTCCCAATCTAGCGTTTCCGGGCTTACGGGGCCCTGATTGGTAGATTGACAAGGTTCGATTTGGGGTCACGGGCTTAACATTTAAAACTTGACCATCTACCGGGCGCCTGGGCCCCCTTGGCCTTGGGGCCGTTCATTCTGCACAAACTCACCCCCCCGGTAACCCAACTTGTCACGCGGTGTGCGGCACCAGATTTCGCCGAGCGGGGGCGCTCTTTCGGCCAAGAGGCTGGTCCAGGCGGCCACATACGCAATCAAGATGTGCTTCACAAAGAGCAGGTCGTGCCCCGAGAGGCGTCGAAGGTCCCCAGAGGCCCGGAGAGGTCGTCAGGAGAATGCTCCAGAGGTCCCTGACGCGCAGAACTTACTGACTCGAGAGACTTACGTTGAAGGGGCCCTGGGACACACACATAAATACACACAAATAAAACTATTCCCCATATTTTCCTATATCTTCTGGGTTCCTGTCTTCCCCCCCACTTCCCGATTTTTCCCGTATTTTCCGGGGAATCGACGAGTAATTGTGTCTGAGTGTTTCTTTCCCCTCCTGACTTGCGTCATGACTGCAGCTTCCTGTGCCCTCCCGTCTGCTCTCCTCCTGCAGCTCCACGTGCCGCGCAGTCAGTGGGCGACACGCTGCAAGGATGTGCTGGACTCGAGAGCAAATCAAGCTTGCGCTGTGGTGCGGACAGGGGCCCCTAGATCTAGATTAGTGGATGCCATGACAATGGACACTTGAACAGTCCTATCATGGAATTGAACATGGTTTTACAATGTAGGGAACATGTTCTAAACATGTTTCAAAACTGTTGCTAACATGTGTTAAGCAGTTTTAACACATGTTCTAGACATCTGGAAATTTGGCCACATGCTTCCTGTTCATTGATCAACCTCCACAAATCTAGATCCTTGCGAGAGCCCAGCTCTCAAGCACGGAGAGCTGGGACAAGGCCGGGAAGAGGGCGAGACCGGGCGGAGATCCCTCGAGCGCCTGCGAGGACCAGTGGCCCTGTCAAGGCGTCTCGAGCGCTTCAGAGCGTGTCGGAGCGCTCCGAGAGTGTTCCAAAACGCTCTGGCCTATAGGGCCGTTTTTTACCGGTTCCGTTTTGCCGTTTTTTCCTGGTTACGACGCTGTTTTTTTACCGGTTCTGTCGCCGTTTTCTGAACGGTTCTGGCTCCAGGCCCAATCCTGGAGCCGTTTTTTTGCCGTTTCCGGTCGCCGTTTCTTTGCCGTTCCCATTTTCCAGGGGCACTTTTCCTGACACGGTGAAAAAACGGCCCTGCCGCTTCCGGGGCCCACAAAGGCTCTGGCACGGATCCCAGACCCCCGACGTCATGATTTTTTCATGACGCGACCCCCAGAGGTCCGGACCTATTCGCCGGGACCGGTTTTTCATCCTGAGCCGTTTTTTGACGCTCCCGAGGCCCGGTGAGGGCCCCCGGAGGCCGAAAATTAGGAAAAACCTCCCGTCGTGATTTTTTCATTACTCGAGGGGGTCTGGGTTGCGTCCTCGCCCTGGCCCCGTCCCGAGAGCGCCCTCGCGTGCTCCGCCCCGAGAGCCCCGGGCTTGGGGGGGCGGCGCGCCGCCGGACGTGTGGGGCAGGGCGCAGGCGCCCGGGAGCGCCAAGAACGCCTATACCACGCCCTACCGCGGGCAGCCCCGCCTCCGGAAAGATCCCGAGGAGGCGCGTGGGGGGGGGAGAGCAGGAAGGACGGGAGGAGGACCAATCCATCGAGAGCAGAAAGAGCCACTAATTAGGCCTGGTAGCGCGACGAAGACGCGGCCTCACCGAGGTAACGCAGGCCACATCCTACCAGCTACCAGGACCTGAACGAACAGGGGCCATCACAGAGAGACCTTGGTGGAGTTTTTCGAGCTGCCGGCCGCTGCGTCGGGAATCTCGCTCGCCTGCCTGACCTTCGCACACTTTCGCTGCAAGTGACGCCGCTGCGTCTTTGTCATGGGGGTCCCCGCTTTTAGGCCCTCCTTCGAGCGCTCCTCTTCCTCCATCTCCTGGCGGAGTGTCCAAGCGGCGGACTCCAAATTCGCTGGCTCGGGCCACGACGGATCCTGCTGCTGCGGCCCGACCGAAACACACCCTGGCCCTCCACGATCGCTCCTGCCGCTGCCTGTCCCAGAGGTCAAAGACCGCTGCTCCCTGCTGCAGTGGCCGGGCAGTGTCCAGTCTGCAGTCGCCCAGGAGAGCTGCCTCTTCTCCAGTCTGCCGTCGCCAGCCAGATCCGACGCCGAGAAGCGGTCCGAGGAGGGGTCCGACTTGGCGCGCCGCTCCACGGTGACAGGAGAGACCCACGGCGACTCGCAGTCCAGAAAAGTGTTCTTGTACACCAAGCCCTCTGGCCACGCGCCTGCCATGGGTCGCGCGCGAGCCCGGGAGGTGGGGCGCGCAGCCCGGAAAAGAAGAGCCCCCCCCCCCGCCCGCCGCTCCCGTCCGCGGCCTGAGCTGGAACGGCCTCAGGGAAGGAGGGATACAGTGGACGCGTACGACAAGAAATCTTGCGGTGAGAGAATCTGGGTGCACCTGCGTCGTCGAGTTTTGCTCGTGGGATGCATACAAGCCCGCATGATCATAAACCTTCGGAGCTCGGCGCAGAATTTCTTTGATCCGTGCTGGACCCCATCCCTGGCGCGCGGAGCGCGCCAGAGGCGGCGCCAGAGGCACAGCCAAGGGGGCCCAACGCAGATCCAAGAGATCTGCACGGAGCTCCGAGAGTTTATGTTTATGCTGCTTTATCTTATTCGGTTTGAGTCTCCTATGGTGCCCTGGAGCTTCTACGGCCCCCCCCCCCAAGGCCATCAGGGGATAAGGCAAAACGACCGTGGAGCAACTGTTGGCAGGCGGGTCTCTCCCTCGACGCTGAGGAGGAGGAGGAGGAGGAGGGAGGAGGAGGAGGGGGAGGAATAGGAAGGGGAGGAGGAGGAGGAGGAGGAGGAGGAGGTGGAGGAGGAGGAGGAGGAGGAGGAGGAGGAGGAGGAGGAGGGGGAGGAGGAGGGGAACGAGGAGGGGGAGGAGGAGAAGGAGGAGGAGGAGGAGAGGAGGAGGGGGAGGAGCAGGAGGAGCAGAGGAGGCGGAGGAGGAGGAGGAGGAGGAGAAGGGCCAGGAGAGAGGAGGAGGAGGAGGAGGAGGAGGAGGAGGAGGAGGAGATGATGAGCAGGCGGAGGAGGAGGGAGAGGACGAGGAGGAGGAGGCGGACAAGGAGGAGGAGGAGGGGGAGCAGGAGAAGGCGGAGGAGGAGGAGGAGGAAGAGGAAGATGAGGATGAGGATGGTGATGGTGATGATGATGGGCTGATGATGATGATGAGGAGGAGGAGGAAAGAAGGAGAGGAGGAGGAGGGGGAGAGGAGAAAAAGAAGGAGGGGGAGGAGGAGGAGGAGGAGGAGGAGGAGGGAGGAGAGGAGCAGAAGGAGGATAAGGAGGGAGAAGGAAGGGAAGCAGAGGAGGCGGAGGAGGAGGAGGAGGAGGAGGAGCTGGCCAGGAGGAGGAGGACGAGGAGGAGGAGGAGGAGGACGAGGAGGAGGAGGGGGAGCAGGCGGAGGATAAGGGAGAGGACGAGGAGGAGGAGGAGGAGGAAGAGGAGGAGGAGGAGGAGGATGACGAGGAGGAGGAGGAGGAGGAGGACGACGAGGAGGAGGAGGAGGAGGAGGAGGAGGAGGCGATGGCCAGGAGCAGCCACCCCTGAAGGAGCTCTGGACCTGGCCTCGAGCGGATCTTGCTCGGGGCCTGGACGAGTGGGGGGGCGGCCCTCCCAGGAGCGTCCCTACCAACGACGACGACGACGACGACGACGACGACGACGACGACGACGACGACGACGACGACGACGACGACGACGGACGACGACCCTCTCCCGCGCGCTGCGCGGAAGGTGCCAGGATCCGCCAGCATCGCACCGGCACATGGGATCGGATCGGCATCTGCCCCTGATCGGGCTGCCTAGGCAGGGCACCGAAACCGAATCGGATCGGCTGCGCAAGGGTTCACAGCGGCGCCGTGCGAGCATGGGGCCGCATCGGATCGTCGGAATAATTGGCACCTGGACCTTGGGGCTTTCCCCCAGGACGAGCTCGCCATCCCGAGTCGTAGTCGTTCTCTGACAGGCCCAGGGCCCGTGGAGGGCCCCAGGAGCCCGAAAACGGCGAAGAACCTCAGGACCCGCTTCACTCAGGACCCGCTTCCCCCATGGCGAGAATGATTGTCCAGATCGAAGCGGATCGGGCTGGCCGGATTCGACATCTAATCGGATCGATCGGCTCGAAGTGGGCCCCGGTACGGGGCGTGGCCATCGAGGGGCACGGCCCCTCCCGGAGCAGCCGCAGCCCGCGCAGAGGGAAAAGCGGCTTCCGAGGACCGT